ACCCTGAGTCAATCTGCGAAGAGGATGTTACCTTAGCTCTGAAAGAGCTAGATGAAAGATGTGAAGAAGAAGAAGCAGATTTCTCCGGACTGTCTAGGTGAGAATACAGTATCATAAACACCATAGTGAGGTGATAATCTCTCCCCCATTCCTTCCAAAGAGTGCCCCTGTATTCCAGTTTACTTACTTTCATTTCTTTGTGCGTTTCAGTCTGTAATCATACTTTGTGTGTTTTAGTCTAGAATCATACTATCTTCATTTTTAAAGATAGAATGCCTTACTCTAATGGGATATTTCTTCGATTATGGACATTCCCATAAAGAAAAACAATTAGGCCATTTTCAAAGCATAGTAAGTGGTATTCCACATTTAGAAGCACACCAAATATCTATTTTGGCATGCTAGATGGCCAAATGTTAAAATCAATATTGGAATGAACTTCTGTGATACCAGAATTTAAATCTAAAATATATCCAAAAAGTTGTTTTTACAGTTTCATGATCAGTGGTCATATTTTTTAAGTTTTATTGCTATTATAGGCAGAAGTGATTATTTCTTAGATGCTAGATTGCTCCTTTTAAATGTTTATGCTCCACACATTAAAAACATATTACCAAAAAGTATGAAGAATTCTCAAATGGAACTTTTTCTTTACTCATGGACTAACTTGAATAATCAATTATTTATAGTTTTTAAGGGAAATTTTGGTGGCTGTTATGAAACTCATATACCAAATAATTCTGTAACACATAGAATTAGAATATCCACTATTTAAATTTCATAAATATTTGTGGTTCAATATTATGTTTTTTATAAAGGTATCTAACTTCATGCACTCTGTGCGTGTATCTATTTCCCCATTCAACAATTTGAGCTCCTGGATAACTTTTTATATAAAATTAATATTTAATAATCAGCAAGTATTTCAGAATTTTACTTTTACAATAAAAATTACACCTTTATACTTCATGTGATAGTAGAGTTTTAACATATACAACACATCGGAGATTTTTTTTTACCGTCAACATATCAAGAATACTTACCTATATTTGAAAATATATAATCAGATATTAACAATAAATCTTAGTGATACACCTTTTTCATATTACTGATTTGAATATGGCAGTATCCCATGCAACCATTCAATCATTAATCATGCAGAAGTTCAGGAATGCCAGAAACGATGCTATTCAGCTAGTTGGCTTTCTAAAAGGCTGAAGCCAAACAGTCAACTTTGGCCAACTACTGCAGCTGAAATAGAATGGAGCATTCCTACTAAGCAAACAGGTTATCTACTCTAGCTTATAGTATACGTGTTAAAATCAGTCACCACAGTGACAGTTTTAAAATTAACCTTTTTGAGGTCTCATTTGTTTTCACTTCAGATGTCTGCTTTATTTTGATGGTTTTCTCCAGTCTTTACTTGGGTCCCTCTCTTCCATATGCATTGCTCCAAAATTTTGATAAAGCCTTATAGAACCAGCTTGTAATGCGAAACATTCAATCTTAAGACCTTGAATAACACATGTCTTTTTTATGGAGTGTCAGACTCAAATATTTCTTCATATTTATGGCCGAGAGTTGTAGAATGTCCAACCCAAATATATCTTCATCTTTTTCCATTGTTCTGTTTTGGTTTGTATAATCTGACTTTTGGGATTATAAATTATTTGAAGGAAATGGCCAGGTCTTATGTTTCTTTGGATTCCAATCTATTATTGGCCATATTGCTAGGAACATAGTATGTGCTTATGAAATAACTGAGCTAGCTATGTGTTTCCTGGCTAATAGCAATTGGACCCATAGTCCTGGGTTCAAATTCTGGCCCTGTCATTTCTTACCCAGCAACTAGACATATTATTTAACCTTACTGAACTTTTTGTTTCATCTTTAAAATCAAGATAATAATAGAACCTAATCCTCATGTAGTTGCAAAGACTGAATGAAATTATCCATATAAGGCACCTAACATAGCCCTTAACACAAAAGATCATGATCAAAACTTTAAAAATATTATCACCAATGTGAGGCTGTTCAAATAAAAGCCTCCAAAATTGACCATTGAAAATGAAAACATTCTCATTGGTATTATTCATAGAAGTTACTAAAATTAATCCATAGTGGTGGCACATTATAGGACTTGGGTTATTTTAAGGTAGTTGCTTGAAATTAGAGTTCTAATTCTAAAAATGCTAACTAGAAAGAACAGGAATTCACTTATTCACACTTTCTTACAAGATTTAGGTGGTTGTACATTTTCTAAATCAGTGTGTATATATGAATAAAAATAACCTGTCAAATGACTTAAGCTGTCTTACGTGATTGAGCCTATTCTTTTTTTCTGAGATAGTGTTATGATATTTGTGATATCTGTGTTAACAGTCAAGACGAAGAAGAGCAAGATGGTTTTCCAGAAGTACAGACATCGCCTCTGCCATCACCATTTCTTTCTGCCATCATAGCCGCCTTTCAGCCCGTGGCATATGATGATGAAGAGGAAGCCTGGCGCTGCCACGTCAATCAGATGCTGTCTGACACCGACGGGTCCTCTGCAGTGTTTACTTTTCATGTGTTTTCTAGGCTTTTTCAGGTCAGTGAGGTTCAGGGTTTCTGAATTTATATTATAGTTACCTATTCAAGTTACAGTTTTTCTTCTAAAATCATCATCTCCAATTTTAATATTCCTACCAGTTTTCTTTAATAATTTTTTTTTTCTAAGCTAGTAGTATTACTTACATTGACACTGTGACATTGTGGTACTGCTGGTACATTACACAATGACTGGTACAGATTTCTCCCTTAAGGCAATTAGAATAAAACTTCAAAACAACATCTGATATGTTTTCTGCAGTATGCTTAGGCACTATGAGGATACCAAAGAAATAAAGGCCTAAGCTCTGCCTTCAGGGAGCTTACAGTTAATATATCATAAATCAGTTTATAATCAAGGGTTAAAGTAATGGACACTTTTATGACTCTGTGAGGACCTTAAAAGTTTTAGCTGTTAAGGTTGCTTCCTCCCCAACAATAATGATAATATAAGCTAAAATTTATTGACTACCCACTACATGCTAGGCACTGTGCTAAATGGCTTTATAGTAAGTGTTCTCACACCACAACTATGGAATGTAGATTTGATTTTTAGCATTCAGTGGAGAGGGAAACTAAGGTATAGAAAAATGCCACCATTTAAGTTATATCCTCTGAACTATCTACTACCTTTCCTCCCTTTTCTCCTCCCAAATTTTGCCCATCTTGGAAGACTCAGCTAAATACATTTTCTTACCAAAGCTTTCCCAACCACTCCAACCTCCAGTCTCTCTCTCCTGGAAGTTCTTTAGCGCTCATTAATGGGAGCGCTTATTTAATTCTGTACTTACTGCATCACTACTTGGTTTTTCTACTCATGTTCTTACTGATGTTGTAAGTTTCATGATGGCTGAAAGTGTGGATTTATGCTTTTTATTTTAATCATAATGCCACCTAACAGTGCAACACATATATAAGTAGGTGTACTTTAACCATTGATACTACTGATAATGTAGTCTAATTGATTGACTTAATGTGAGTCAGGCATTGTCTGTTTTATGGAAATGAATATTCTTGGACTCGGAGAAAATATTACTCTTAATACATTTTTTATGACTTTAGTACCTAAAGTTAAGCCAGATGGCAGCCCATAGTCAAGAATAGTAAACTACATCTACTGAAAGTTTCTTTCAGGTAATAACTTTTGATGAACAACTTCCTCAAGACAGGCAAGGACTTTGATTGCTAAGAATGTACAGCATGCATCCATCTGTCTGCCTCTGATGAAAAAATCTCAGGAATAGGGAGATGACTGGCATATAGCATTAATTTTTTCAGTAATATTATTTTGTAAATTTTTGTTTCTTTTTAGAAATTAATATGTTTCCTAAGGAAATACCTAAAAATATGGATTTACAGATCAATGGTTAAAATTCTATATATCATTATAATTTTAAAATAAAAGTCTACCCTATTATGCTTCTTTACTTTTAAAGGCAAAAAAAGGCTTTCTTATGAAACACCAAACTCTTTTGCTTTTCCCCATAGACAATTCAAAGAAAGTTTGGAGAAATAACTAATGAGGCAGTCAGCTTTCTTGGTGAGAGTCTGCAACGCATTGGTACCAAATTTAAAAGCTCCTTGGAAGTGATGATGATATGTTCAGAATGCCCAACAGTCTTTGTGGATGCTGAAACAGTAAGTTTTTACATGCACATTTATTATAAAGACTACATTTGAATGGCATCATTCAGTAAGTCTTTTTTTTCTAAGTAATTCTGAATTTTATGGTATAAAGGTTCAGATTTTCAACAGGATTATAAATATTTGGCAAAGTACAATTCTGGTATATTAGATGCAGCAACTTGTGACTATTTCTGATTCTGACTCCTTCCTGCCCTTACCCTCCACAGAGTCCTAGATGGGAAAGCTAAAAAGTCATGCTCTAGAGATGGGTAATTTTTTTATTCTTAAATAAAAATGCGTAGGAGATACCTAAACCTCCCCCCGTGAAATACTCAGGCCTCCTGGTTCATTTCCTGATTTATTTCCAAGCACACTTCTAGATTATATATTAAGGTATTTAAAGAACTAAGATTTAAAAATCTTCAGGGTTGAGGTATGTACTGGTCTTGCCTGACGTCTTTGAAAACACTTGAGGATGTCCTTCCTAAGACTTCTGAAGTCCCACTGCACTCCTACTCTGTTCCAGTGAGAGCTCAGCTCTTAGTAGGGGACAGAGTAGAGTAAGAGAATATCCAAAAACCAACTAATAGGTATTCCATAACTGAAAAGTCTCATGATTTTGTGAGTCTCGTGATTTCAATCAGAAATGGTAACCTGGGTCAATATTTCTGATTTCACAGCTGATGTCATGTGGTTTGCTGGAAACCCTCAAGTTTGGTGTTTTGGAGTTGCAAGAACACCTGGATACATACAATGCCAAAAGAGAAGCCACTGAGCAGGTCAGTCTCTTTTTACCATATGCGAAAAGTGGTTTGCTCTTGACACTGGAAGGGTAATCCTGGCAGCAGAATAGCCCAGACAGAAAAGAAGACTTCTTGGCACCTGCCTAAGGGTTTTCCTGAGAGCAGCAGGTTCTTTGAGCTCTCTATCCAGCGAATTCCTACCTTTGGCTTTTAAAAATCAGCTCTCTAACAGCACAATGGAAAACCATAGCTTTGTAAAAAGCTCTGTGGAGACTATATTGCTGCTGTCAACATTCCAAGTGGGGAAATTGAAGCAGTATTTCTCAGTGCATTAGAGAATTGTGGTCTAGGAAATCCACAACCTCTGACAAAGCTATGATCTTTTTCCCATGATGTGTACATGTACATGGGCAAGCAATGGGAGAAAAAAGCATTAGATAATCACCTCCTAAGAAAGGCCTCTTCAAGTCCAATCTGGCATTGAAAACAGAGTAGCTCTGTTCCTTCCCTAAGAGTAAATCCAGCACGTTTTCAATTGGGAGGGGCAGAAGAACAAAAAATAGTTTCTCTCTTTCACACAAACTGCATACAGTAGACAATTATTTTTCTAGGAGATGGGTCTTTCATTAATAAGTAGTAAATATCTATGACATGTATAGGCCTATGAAAAATGAAGTGTGTGGTGGTATCTCATGGTACTATTTTGCATTTCCCTGATGACTAATGTTTGAGCTCCTTTTCAAATGGATCTCATTTAAGATATTTTGTGAATTGTGGCTTCAAGTACGTTGTTCATTTTTGTAAATGGGTTGGGTTTTTCTTATTGATTTGTAGGGGCTTTTTATCCTAAATGGATATATCCTCTTTTGGATATATGTATTGCAAAGATTATTCCTTCTCTGTGGCTAGCAGTTTTGCTATCTTAGTAGCATTTTTTGATGAACAGAAGTTTTTAATTTTAATAAGTCCAGGTTATTGGCCTTTTCCATCATGGTTATGGTTTTTGTATCTTCAGAAATCATTGCCTACTAGAAGCAAAGGTAGATTGTTAAAATACTGGTCCCAATGAATCATGCTTCTCTGTGGCCACACCCCTTTGCAATGTGACTTTCCTGTTCTTCCCATGAAGAGACAGAGTCCACCATTTCACCATCTCTTAAATTGGGATGGCCTTGTGATTTGCTCTAACCAATCAAGTTCAGAAGCAATGCTGTGTAACTTCCAAGACTAGTCCTGAAGTGGTCTTTTGTGGCTTCTGCTTTTGCCATCATACTGGTCAGAGTGCAAACTGGGATAAACTCTGGGAAACTATTTGACCTCTAGCCTGCTGGAAGATGAGGCCATGTAGGGGAGAACAGAGGCATTCCAGTTGACAGCCAGTGTGCAAGACATATGAGTGAAGCCAACTTGGAACTTCAACCCTGCCACTTCCCCAGTCAAGCCATCAAATGACTATAGACTCATGAGTGACCCTAGGCAAGGCCAGAAGAAAACTCCCAGCCAGCACATAGATTCATTTTGGTTGTTTGAAGCCATTAAGTTTCAGGGTGGTTGGTTTTAAAGCAATAGATACAATTTATAATAGGAAAATATCAAATACCTACAAATATATCTAAAGATATGCTGTACCTCTATACAGAAAACTGCAAATATTGAAAAAAATGAAAGACCACCTAAATGGAGGACTATATACCATGTTTATCAATTAGAAGACTCATTATGGTAAAGATGTCATTTTCCCCCAAAATGGTCTATAGGTTTAATGCAGTCTCATTCAAAATCTCAGATGGCATATTAACGGAAATTGACAGGCTGATTCTAAAATTTTTAGGAAATTCAAACAACTAATAGTGCATACAAACTTCTTGAACACAGGTTAGCAAACTACAGCCATCAAGTCATATCTGGCCCACTGCCTGGTTTTGTAAATAAAATTAGTAGAAAACAGCTATCTGGTTTACTTACATATTGTCCATGGCTATGTTTGCACTGTAATAGTTCAGTAGTTACAACAAACACTATATGGTTTGCAAAGCCTAAAATATTTACTGTCTGCCCTATTTAATTTTCCTATTAGTTTTTGAGTTATACATTCTTTTTATTATTCTTCAAGACTTCTAAGGCTCACAAGTGAATTGAATGATTTTTCTCTCTCCAGCACTGAGAGAGCAGCAGTCTCTGCCGACCTTCTCAGTCTCCCAGGGGCTAGTGTGTGATTTCGTAGCCTCTCCCCCTGCAGATAATAAACAGGAACAGCAAATGTCCCAAGGGGAAACTGCACAGAGACTATTGGGGTCACTTCTCTGCAGTTCTCTTTTCTCCAGGATATTGGCCCTCAATATCTCACTATCTATCTTTGAAAACTGTTTTCCCAGCCCAGTGAAACTGTAGGGCATAAACTCTAGGCCACTGCTTTCTGTTCAGCCTCTATGCGAAGGGACATGAATATGAATACACCTAGAGTAAGCACTGGGGCGGGTATTGGGCTCACTTCGGTACTTTTCTCTAACTGTTTGAGTTTTCGCTGATAGGATTCAGCTTCCATAGTTGTCCTTGCAGGATTGTTCTTATATAGGCTACTCCATCACACCCAGAAGTAGAACCTCGACAGTTAAATTTTAACCTTCATTTGAACCTTGAATAAAGAAAATGCCGTGACAGGAAAACTGATTAGATGTGAACTGGAGGGTGCTCTGTGCACAAACTACCGTGTTTTGTATGCTCTGGCTGGAAAGGTGTGGACCTGTATCTCTCAAGCCATTGTGCAGCCACAGGACTATATGGTTGGGGTTTGTCTTTTAACAGAATAAAAATCAGCAATAATTATATTGAATAGTACCCCCCAAAAGGCTGTATCATTAAGTACACAGTACAAAAATAAGCCATTAGTCAACTGAAATTATTTTCAAATTTATTAGTATACTTGGACAAACTGGACAAGATAAGGGATAATTAAGATTTTAACATTTTGTATGAATAAAGATTAATGCACAGGTTCCATGTTAGATGTCAGCTGCATTTTACTAATACAAAGAAATCCACTGATAGCTTTTGACAATGGCTGCCATCAGCTGTATCTCACTAGAAAAGCTTAACATGTTTTCCTTCAGAGATGCTGTCAAGCAAATAGCCTAAGGGCCGGTGAAACCTGAGAGACTGAAATAAAAGGAAAATAAGGTCAAAGAGATCATTTTTGAAATAACTGAAATGTCTAATTTTAATTCTTTGTGGGTACAATATAAGCTACAATAGAGAATGTTAAATGTCGAATACTAAAATACTTTCAGAGTAGCTGCTTAATGCAGCTAGTTTGAGTTTCTCAAAGTCCTAATGATTTCATATAGCTATATATATATGTTGTATTGTTTAATAGTATAATTTAAAAAAAGAACTTAGAAGTCAAAACAACTGATAATATCAAACTGTCCAAAGCTAGAAGCTTACCTTGAACACACTTAACTTTTACTTCAGCCTGGAAATTCTGAGAGTCCAGCGTTCTTTTCTACTATACCACAGTGCTATTGTTTTATTTATATTTTGCTGAAGAAAATGTAATTTAAGTTATTTTTAAAGTATTCCTTTTTGTAACTATTTTTTTTAGAGACAGGGTCTCCCTATGTTGCCCAGGATGGTCTTGAACTCCTGCCCTCAAGCAGTCCTCCCCGCTCAGCCTCCCAAAGCTCTGGGATTACAGGCAGGAGCCACCACACCCAGCCTGTACTTTTATATCAACATTAGGAATACCCCCAGAGAAGGAAAAACCACATTTGGCTTCTACATCCAGTATTGTTTGGAAATAACATGTTTGTCATTCATTACTGTCCAAAAAGAAAGAAAAGAAAAACAAGATTTAAAATGGATCTTGATTGCCAGTTCACAAATTTAAAACTGACACTAGTCTTCTGAGAATTATACTTCTCATAAGCAACAGACCTGCTTAATTCTAAGTTGCCTTTATTATATTGACTAGAGGGGAAGCACATCTTTCATTTCCCTGTCTTATGTTACACAAAGGTCAGGCAAAGGTTGTGAAGATTTTCATAAAGCCTGCAAAATGAAGAATATCCTTTACTGAAATGGAACATCACAGGTCCCTAGAATGGAATGGGTTTTGTCAGTATAGCTGTCACAAGTGTGTGCCTCTTGTTATATTAATGCTATCCCTGCTTTTGTTAGTTCCATGTAAATGATTTGGCTTGAATGGGGATAAAATTCTAGGTCTGCAACCAATCCTAGAACTTCAAGTTAGCTTTAAGTTTGGTGTTGTATATGGACGGGCTGTTACATTACCCATTTCATTGTGCATATTAAATGTTACTGTTACTTATTTTTAGTGGCTAGATGATTGTAAGAGGACATTTGGTGCCAAAGAAGACATGTATAGGATAAACACAGATGCACAAGTAAGTTTCTTGTTCTTGTTTTTGCTGTTTTTCTGTATCAGGTAAAACAATGCATATGTTCAAATATCCTTATTTGATTATTTCTAAAAATAAAGAATATTTGTAAAACTTTTCATTTTGGTTATCAAACAATCTTTGTAAAAGCTCAGTGAAATATTGGTTTCGTAATGAAAAATTCACTTTAATAAAAATGAACGACCAGGTTGTGACTGAAGCTTAATAACATTCAATAGATAAGCTTGATGGATATCTGGAAAGCCCAGGTCAGCTTTTAGTTGCATGTGCCTCTTAAAGAAAAATTTGTTCCATGTTAGTATTCTGCTATTCTGTTAGATAAATTGGTCAAGAAAGCAACCCTAAGAATAACGTGATATAATACATCCATACTAAAGGTAAAATTAGAATTGGATAAATTATAATGTTTTTCTCTAATATAAGACTGAGTGAAAATAAAGCATTATATTTTCTTAGAAAGGTGCACATACATAAACACATACATTGATGTGAGGATAAGTTAGGGCCTACAAATTATTCTAATGGGAGTGCAGCTTCATAGGGGAAAATACATTCATCAACTGAAAATTATTTCCATTTGACATCAGAATTCCAGTCTTTTATATTCTACCTTTGGTTATATTATTACAGATTTCTAGTCTCTGTAAAGGTTATACTATTATTAGGTTATACTATTATAGTAAAAAGTTGAAGTTTTGCAAAAACTGCAGTGTTGAGAAAATAACAGTATACTCGCTAAGTATTAACTATTTGCCAGCCTCTATTGTTATCTTTATCCTTACAACTCAGTCAAGTAGTTGCTTTAATTATCCCGGTTTTGAAGATGAGGAAACTGAGGCTCAGAGAAGCTGATTTATCTAAAATCAGCAAATAGTGAAACCAAGATTGAAACCTAGGCAGGCTGACTCCAAATCCTGCACTAATGTTAAAAAGAAACCGCGAAGTCATCTATGTAAAGAAATGAAGATAAGGAATTCTAGACCAGAATTAGATCCTTTGGTTCTAATTCTGTCTTTGCCACTGTTTAACTGCATCACTTCAGCAAGTAATGCAACCTTTTTTCCTACAAAAACTAGGTGTTTATATTAAGTGATTTTTTTTATATCCCCTCTACCTTGAAGAAAATTATATCCATCTTAAGACCAAGTCAGTTAACATAGCTTGAGATTTTCTACTAAGTGGAAACTGAACATTTAACACTTTCATTTATATTTCAGCTCACCTTTCATATTCAACTTTTTTGAGGGTGGAAGATCCTTTTTATGCAACTCGATCTGTCCTTGTGTACCAGTCTTGTCTTTTGCATAATAAGCAGTCAAATATTTGTTAGATGAATAAAAGAGAATGTGCAAATTTTAATATACTTTAAAATGTGCATATATATACACACACACATTCATCCACAAAAACTGCCCTGTTAGCATATTTAGAGTAATTGCTGGTAATTCAGAGCTGTAAAATTCATTACATTTGTGTTATTTCCTATAATTATGATCATAAACTTTATCAGCAGTTTATGTTCCATTACATCCCAAAGTAGAGGCTATGCATATATGCTTGTAGAATCAGTTCTACTTTATTTGTGCTAATAGAAGTGAGGAAAGGTATTTACAATTCAAATTGTTAATTTCCATATGAAATAAACTGTATGAACTAAACCCTCAGAAATTTAGATACGGAATATGCTTGACCTTGGATTGTGCTCAACCGATGTTTACTGGATGAGCATCCACGTAATTTATGGTAAGCAGCGTGGAGCTAAAGTTCACCTTTGCTTATTTAGCAAATCCCTTCTAAACTGATAGGAATACACTTTATGAAAAACAGTCCTTCACAGGAAAGTATTTAGAAAAGCAGGCTTAAGAATGATTTTTAGAAGGTACATTTACAGTATAACAATTGCTGTTTTAATTAGAAGTCATTCTCCTCGTAATGAGACCAGATCAGTTGCTGTATATGTGTTCATATAGTTTTTAAGATGGTTCATAAATTTTTACTGTGTTTTACATACGTTATGTTGATTCAAACCTAGTCGGGTTAAGTTTCTGAAACCTACTGAAGTACCTTTGGAATGCAATTTAGAACACGCATCTGCTTTTGATATTTCACCCTGTGGCTCAGCACCAATTATGGCAAAGTAGGACCTGGAATGAGCCACCCCAGAGATAATCTTTTGATGGTGATGGATAAGTATTTATTATGTACGATTATAAGCCAATTTTTTTCTGAGAAGTAATAGTAATTAATTTGTTTCTTATTTTCTAATCATAAGTTTTCCAGTTTACAAATGTAAGTTTTATTACAGTTGGGTTTTGTTTTGTTTTTTTAAACCTGGATAGCCAAATTTGCCAAGATCACAATAGTTCAGTTTTATTCATTGTAGCTTTTACACAGAAATAAGTCATAGCCTAAATGTAATTTATTATTTGGCAGTGTTTAAAAACACCCTGAATTGTTGCAGTAAATGTCTAAAAAGTTTTATTCTGGACATAACTTCATATAGTTTTCTTTGGGGTATAAATATATGTTCTTCAGTTTACCTGGAACATCTGTGACCCTAGTTAAAATGATTTCTTACACTAATTCTTGGTCTTTTTCTTTCTTTGTATTTTTTGTGACCTGATCACCTTCTTGCTTAGCAAATGGAAATACTAGCAGTAAGTGACCTGTCTTGATTTATAGACCACTCACCCTTGCCAGACAAACTGGTTTTCATCTGCCATTTGTCCATTTGTGACCTAGCAATGTTTTGTCATGGACTACTTTACAAGTAGTATGTGCTTCAGTTTTGCAAAGCCCTAATCCATGAAATGTTGGTTCTATTAAAATAGATGTTAAAATACATAAAATTAGCAGTCACCTTTTTCTTAAACATATCTCCTTTTAAATTTCTTAATTTTAAAAAAGTGCTTTTTTTTTTTTTTTTTGAGATGGAATCTTGCTCTGTTGCCCAAGCTGGAGGGCAGTGACATGATCTTGACTCACTGCAACCTCTGCCTCCTGGGTTCAAGCGATTCTCCTGCCTCAGCCTCCCCAGTAGCTGAGATTACATACACCCACCACCATGCCCCGCTAATTTTTTTTGTATTTTTAGTCGAGACAGGGTTTCACCACATTGGCCAGGCTGGTTTCAAACTCCTGAGCTCAAGTGATCTGCCCGCCTTGGCCTCCCAAAGTGCTAGGATTACAGGCGTGAGCCACCATGCTCAGCCCACGTGTTAATTTCATAGTTTCATTTCAATGAGATTACTAAGTAGTTTTCTTTAGAAAACTGATCTCACTTTAAAAGACAGCTTTTCTTACTTTTTAGGTAAGCGGTTATCCAGTTTCACTTTGCTTTATCAAGCATTTGTTGATAAATGCAGTGAGATCTACATCTCAATGAGGGCAAAAGTCTTTGCATTTGTAGATTATTTTAATTATGAATTTAAAGTTTTAAATTCTAATGAATCCTTTTTAAAGTATCCTATTAATTGCCTGCTGAAACAGTCTATTTGTAGAATGTGAAAATGTGCTTAACATTAAAACTGAATTATGTAACCAGCAGTGATATTTGTTTTCATTTTAATCTTTGTCTTTAAAGCATATTTCGCCTGCCTTTCATCAGCTTCACACCATATTAACTTGCTTACTGCAGAAAAATAAACGACAAGACAATTTTAACTATAAATTTTCATTGGAAATATGCTGTCTAGAAAACAACACCTAAATTTAATGTAATGTTATTTATTTCTAGGAATTGGAGCTCTGCCGAAGATTATACAAATTGCATTTTCAATTGCTGCTTCTGTTCCAGGCCTACTGTAAACTTATCAACCAAGTAAATACAATAAAAAATGAAGCAGAGGTAAATATTCAGTTGTATTAGGCATCAGTAACTGATTCTAGAAAATTTTTAAAATATACATTTATTAGTTGTTAGAATAGCTTAAGTCAAAAGTCACTTAGGAGTGGTCTTTTTTTTTCTTCAGTTAAGGAATAATTTGTTTTTTAATGATGTGCTATGTCAGGACCTATGAGTAAATAAGACAGCAGATACCCAGCAGTTGTAAAAGGTTCCAGACCTTAAAGGCTTCCATAGCAGAAACAGATCATCTATAATCAAAAGTCAAGTAAAAGCCAAGTGTGGTGGCACATACCTGTAGTCCTAGTTACTTGGGAGGCTGAGCTGGGACAATGACTTGAGCTCAGGAGTTAGAAGCTGCAGTGAGCTGTGACTGTAGCACTGCACTCCAGCACAGGTGACAGAGCAAGACCCTGTCTCAGAAAATCAAAATAGTCAAATAAAGCACATCAGTTCAATACAGACATAAAACTGTATCATCAACCCACCTCCCCCAACATGTTGTTCATATTTCTATAGTTTTTGTTTGTTTGTTTGTTTGTTTTTTGAGGCAGAGTCTCCCTCTTTTGCCCAGGCTACAGTGCAATGGCATGATCTCAACTCACTGCAACTTCCACCTCCTGGGTTCAAGCAATTCTCCTGCCTCAGCCTCCCGGGCAGCTTGGACTACCAGTGTGCACCACCACGTCCAGCTAACTTTTTTGTATTTTTAGTAGAGACAGGGTTTCACCATGTGGGCCAGGCTGGTCTCAATCTCCTGACCTCAGGTGATCCACTGCCGGGCGTCCCAAAGTGCTGGGATTACAGGTATAAGCCACCACACCCAGCCCATATTGTTATAGTTCTATTAATGCACACAAGAATAAACATGTTAAAAAATATAGCCTCAAAGATGCTAACTTTAGTCTTTTTCCCCCCTTGTCATCTGCTGGTAATAAAACTATCACTGGGGAAATGATTTAATTTCTTAGTCATTAAATCTGTAAAAATATATATATATATATATTTATATTTATATTTATATAAATACCCTGGGGTAAATCATCTTTTAAAATCTAAAGACTTTACTGTCACATACTTTTCATGATCCCCCATAACAGTAAATGTACTTTTACTATCCAAAATGTAGTAATATTAAAACCAATATAGACATCTGTTTATTACAACTTGTTGCTTTATCAAGAACATTTAATTTCAAAACTACTATTTGGTGGAATTTATTTGCTCCTACAGAATGGAGTACTTGAAATATTAACTGCCCTTTCTTCCAAGGCAAACATTTTTAAATACTCTTTAAAATAAGAGCAACAATGGTACTACCATCAGGTATATTCTTGTAGCCAACTAAATGTCTTTGTTACCAAACATACGAATAGATCCTTAAAGATGTATTTGTTTTAGGTCATCAACATGTCAGAGGAACTTGCCCAACTGGAAAGTATCCTCAAAGAAGCTGAGTCCGTTTCCGAAAATGAAGAAATTGACATTTCCAAAGCTGCACAAACTACTATAGAAACTGCCATTCATTCTTTAATTGAAACTTTGAAAAATAAGGAATTTATATCAGCTGTAGTACAAGTCAAAGCTTTCAGGTAAAACGTGACAGGATTTAAAGGTGATGCCTTTAAATTAGACAGGAAGTTTAGTAATACTAGGTTTTCATTTTCAATTTGGTGTTTCCATATCATGTCTTTATGAAAGGAAAACATGAGTATCTTTAACAGTTGCCATTGAAATGATACCAATTTTAGATTTCTTTTCACTTTCAGGTGGTACTTTGAATAATATTTGCTCAAATATTAAAACAGATCATGTTATTCACAAGGAAATGTTGTTGTTATAGGTATTTAACTTAAATTGAGTTAGTCTTAACTAATAATTGCCTAAGTCTCAGAACTGAAAAACTATTGTGTATTTTCAGATCTCTCTGGCCCAGTGATATCTTTGGCAGTTGTGAAGATGACCCTGTGCAGACACTGTTACATATATATTTCCATCATCAGACGCTGGGCCAGACAGGAAGCTTTGCAGTTATAGGCTCTAACCTGGACATGTCAGAAGCCAACTACAAACTGATGGAACTTAATCTGGAAATAAGAGAATCTCTACGCATGGTGCAATCATACCAACTTCTAGCACAGCCCAAACCAATGGGAAATATGGTGAGCACTGGATTCTGAGACACTTCAGGCCTTTAGGAAAGAAACTAAACTGAAGATGATGAAGAATATTAAACCAAGCACCTTTTATGGACCCTTGCATTCACTGATAACTTTCTGGCAGCATCTACTTTTTAGTTTAACTAATGTCAAACTGTATCAAAAACAAAGATCTGAAAGAAAAAAAATCTGGTATTTTAACAGCTGCCAACATCTCCCACAATAACTGTATGAAGAAGGAATTTTTTAATTACTTAACCTACGTGAAAAGAAAAGGGCTAAAAGTGATGCCTACAAATACATTACTTTCTGGGGAAAGAAAAGAATTCCAAGAATGTTTACAATAATGGCCTCCAATACTGAAACATCCAAAAGCGGGTGAAATGAGGCTGAAATCAAGGCTGTTTCATTTTAGCTGAAGACCTGCAAAGCTGCTTGAATTTCTAGCAGTCGAAAACCTAACCTGCAATTGATGCTTAATCATCCAGATGAACATGCAGTCAGCTATACACATCAAGACTCATTTACAAAAACCATTGATTTTTCAGTATGTGGGATAAGGGTTTGGGTTTTTTTGGTTTGTTTTTTGGTCTGTATAAGGAATTATGTGTGTGTGAGTTGGGATGTGTGGATATGTGATATTTTCAAGGTATGGATGTTTGGTTATAACGTCTCAGAGCATGCCTAAAAGAGCACTGCAAGATTATTTTTGAAGAAATGTTATTTTATTAGATCTAACTCTTCATAGTATGTAAATGTTAGAACATTTTAATAATATTTTAAAACTGGGCTTTCCCAGTATTTCAAAAAGAAATAATATATCTGTTAACGTTATTGGAATGCTGCTCAGTTCTCTGATCAGTGCTTATGTTACGATTGTTGATAACTAACCAAAGTAGATGCCTGCAGAGACTTTAAAATGTAAAATAAAGATGTATGCTGCCTGTCAGCTATTCTCATTAGAAAAGTTAACTTATTTTACTCCATATAGAAACTGTAGAGACTAAAACCAGTATTTTCTTGTACATTTGTGCCATGCACTGTTATATAAGAATAGGTGTACAAAGCTAAAGAAAAAAATGTGGTCACTGATGATGGAATATATGACTTGCAGGCTTTGAAGTCTGCAGAATTCAAGAAAAGAGCTGCAAATGCATTTTTTATATGTTTATTCAGGACTCACATGTTTTACCCTAAAGAAAGAAACCTAGGGCTAGGGGAAATGAAAGCAAGCCTGAAGACTGACTACCAAAACATGCAGTATACTTATTCACTGTGTAAGTCTGTAGTATAACATGAACTGGAGTCTCTACCCTTTTTTAAATCGCATTTTGTAAGAAAAGAAAAAAAAAAAAGAATGTAGTCCCACAACTCCTGATTTGAAAGAAACACCTTGTATTTTTTATATACATCTCTTATCCACTGTGATCCACTGTGACTTTTCTTTTAAACTGGGCTCTGTGATTCCAGAGTTTAGAATGTAGAAATGAAATGCTTAGCTTTACCTTTTCTTGGGGGTGTGGACCCTGCCAGAAATGTAATTACGTATGCTCAAGTGCATTAACTGAAGGCACTGTGCACACCATTGGACTGCTGACCACAGTTACATATCCAGTAAAATTCCGTATCTGGTCACGGCTCATTCATAATCACTGTACTTTTGGACCCTGATAAAGACAATTATTTTGATGGTGTTCTGGTACTGTAAGTGGTATCCTTTAAATTATTTAAAACTTTTGGGTGTGGGGCAGGCAGAGAGGGATGGTGTCCAGAGATACATTACACTTTACATCCTATCTTACTCTCCCCTGTTTTTCTCACCCTCCTTACATCCTTTTTGTTAAAAATAAAAAGCATTGTAGCTGTTGGTTTGTGTTGTATTTTAACAAAGAATGAATGATTAGAGTGTGCATCATTTAGAAACCTTTCAAATGTTACCCCGTTGAATTGCCTTAAAAAAGAACAAAATCAGTTGACTACCCAACCAAACCTTTCAGTTGATACTTGCTTTTTGCGTTTATTTATATGTAACTAAGTCTATTAATAAAAATGAATATACCTCCAGCAATCAAGATGCAAACAAATTCATGAGGATGGCCTTCTGCAATAGCATTTTCCTCCAACCTACACTTCTCTGCTCCTCAGCCTCTGAATCCCAAGTTAGTATTTATTAAATATATCCAGTGCTTAATTTATTACCTGATTTAGTTCTATTTGGAGCCCAGTTTTTGCTACATACAACCTTTTTCTTTTGCACACTACAGTTATCATTTTTAAATAGTACACTTACAAGACAACAGTAAAAGCAGCAGTCTGGCAGTTTCTTCATGCTGCTTCTAAAACAAAACCACAGGATTTCTTATTTTAAAATATATTTTCTACTTTTAGTGATGTAAAATAGAGGGTGTGGCAAAACACATAACCTCCCTTAAATTTAGGAAATCATTACATGCTTTCTTGGAAAAAGACTCAAGAGAAGAGTAAGGATCCTCATTCAGGCCTATGAGTAAATGCTGCTCACATAAAACACCAGGATAACCTAGACAAAAGGAGACAGACAGTATTAAAATCCATTTACTGGTATTGTATAGCATTTTCTTCCCTAATTTTTCAAAGTAATCCATGGTTCCTTTAGAAAATAAAGGAAATTTGAAGAAAACTACAGTTACTTCTCTTGATACCCAGAGACATCTTGGAGTATTTCCTTCTAACCTCTCTCAACCTGTCTTAAAATCTATTCACATCTTGTAAGTTTTTGGATTGTACACATAAAGAGTTTGGCAGTGCCTTTTCATTGCTCGAATGTAATCACCATAATCTGAATGGTATGTTTTTGTGCCACTTTGTTGAATATCTGCATGCCCACCCACCCTAAGTAAAACAGTCTGATCCTTACTTTCCTCAGCTGAAAAATAGGGTTAGCTGCTATGTTAGGAAAATTAATAGCAAGCAATATTAAAGAACAATGTAACCATATTAATAGCCAGTGGAAATTTCTTAGGACTCAATGCAGGTACCTTTTATGTAATTCATTCATTGAGCAAATGCTATTGATCACATTATATATCACTTGCATGCCACAGTACATATGGGTTTCCTACCCCTGTACCTACCCCCAACCAAACAACAGGAACATGTTAGAACGAGTAAAAAACACATCGCCTTTACCCACACCAGTTCTTGTCATTTCTCTTTAGCCTTGCCACCACTTTATCTGGTCCCTGCAAGTCTCCTTATCTACAGGTATCTACTGTATAGCTGGAGTGATTTTTTAAAAGTGAGTCTATATGTCACCATGCCCTACTATCTCCAGCATACCTTTAAAACTTTTTAGTGCAGCCTGACAAAGTGCCTGTAGTCCCAACCACTTGAGAGGCTGAGCCAGGAGGATGGATCACTTGAGCCCAGGAGCTTGAGGCTGTGGTGTACCCTGATAATGCCTGTGAGTAGCCCCTGCACTCCAGTAGAGACCATCCTCCTAATGAAGGCCTAAAACACCCCTCCAGTCTGGCACTGCTAGATTCACCTGGCATGTCCTCCAGAGTATTCTCCCACTGTGGCCTCCTCCTGGTGGTTTTCTACCACAGGGCTTTTGCAGATTGTTGCCCTAATCTGGAAATTTTCCCCTCGCCATTTTTGCCTCATTCAACTTATTTGAACTGGAGTTCAGCTGAGGTGTCATTCTTTTAGGCAGGGTTTCCCTGACCTAAGTCAGGTCCCTTACTGCAGAGGCACTTTAGCAGATTGTCCTTATCACAGGTCAGAACCTCGGTTTTACATTGATGTAAAAACTAGTGGCCATCTGCCCGCTGTACTAGAAGCTCCATGAGATGCCACCTCTTCTCTGCTGAGCACAAGTTCTCATGCTTCAATTCCATTAGTAACAGCTGGGGGTGCCTGTTAAATGTAGGTAGGACAGGTATCCAGTAATCTGCATTTTACACGCACCATCTCCATCCACATCGATGCAGGTGGGCCTTTCCCCTCGAGATACAGATTCTATGGAGACCTCAAACCCACTTTGGCCCCTTTTAACAAGTGTCCAAGAATGTTAAGACTTAGTGCTATGGCCTAAGGTAGTAAGGAGTTCACTTAAGTGGGATGTTAGACAATTGGAGGCATAATTAGCACATGGTTCCAATTATATGGTTTCTCTAATTAAACCAATACTACAACTTTAATTGCATCAGATGCACTTGAGGCTCTAAACTCAGTCCCATCCTCAACTAGGAGCATTCTGGCAGTGGGGCCTCAGTGTTGTCATGAGAAGCTACTAGATGCAGTTAAGAGTCTGGCATCCCAACTAGCACCAAGTCAGTGAAGACAAAGGCTAAGGCCTACGCCTCTAACTTGACATAAGTACATTTAGGAGGCCTACTTTAAGGAAAAAAAAAAAAAAAAAAAGCTTTGAAGAAACACAAAGTCTACTTGATGGGTTATTCAGTGTCTTAAAGCCGCCATTTGCCCACAGCCACCCTGTTCCAAGCCCCACTTTTGCCACATTTGTGAAACTGACTAGTCAGTCAGGTTAGTTTTCCCAGCCTTCCTCTACCTAGTAGCTTACCTCCTAAAGTCACCCGGACACTAAAGCCTTTACCTACCCCATCACCGCCATTCAGCATTCTTACTCTACCGTTAACCTCCCAACGGTCTCATGCAACCAAGAAATGGCTCTGCCTCCACCTCTCCCAAAAGAATGCCTTAATGTTACAGCTAGGCAGCTTTTTTTTTTTCTTTTTTGAGACGGAGTCTCGCTCTGTCGCCCAGGCTGGAATGCAGTGGCACAATCTCTAGATGGCTTTTTATTCAGTTAACTCCCTTCTAAGCTTCAGTCCTCCAGAGCTGCCTAAATAGTAGACCTCGTCTACGAGCCCCCACTAAATTGTTTTCCAAGTAGCCACAGCCTAACTCAGAGCCTGGCCCACTCTCTGCCATCAGCAAGCATTTATAAAGGTGAAGTGACAGGCCCAGACTGTTAGCACAAGACAAGCACTCTTGAAACTTTATTTTCAAAGACAGATTTTATGCAATGTATAAATTGTGTTGCAATACCTTTATTTGAAGGCTTTTTCAGAATACACTGCCTTTCATGAAGTATTTTGAGAAGGGAGAGGTGGAGAGGAGAGGCACGGAAAAGCTCACTCATCTACTCCATCAGTGCATGCACAGTAACACTGACTTTCACCTAAATGATGTATTTGAAGCTGAAAGTGCTGTCACAGGACAGGCGTTTGCCTTTGCATCTACCACACAAATCTTGACGGTGGGGCCGTTTAGGGTCCACGTGGCGAAGTTTTACTGAGCAGGAACATCTAGTTTGTTTACAACTCTGGGGGAAAAAAAAATACAGAAGGGCGTACAGAAGATAAACCCTTAGTGATTTCCTAGGACTTCAACATTTCTCTAGTCCATTCAAGTACTTATTGAATGCACTCTAAGCAAGGTCCCATAGTAATCTTGTTTTCCCTCTACATCCCTACCTACCTAGCAATGACAGGGCTAGGAATAGTGGGTGTTTAACCATGCTGTAGTGCTGCTAATATTGCATCAGATCCAATTATGAGTTGTGAAGTTTCTTTTGCAACTTTTTAAGAGGAAGGGTAGAGAACAAGTCAGGGATGAATTTGACAACGAACACCAAGAGCAGAGTGGTTAAGGCATCCTCCTTTACAAACATGCCCGGCCCTGATCTAAGTGATTCTAAGTGGCTTGCCATACTTAGTTTCTCTCCACCACCCCAGGGTGTTAATGCTTCTAAATATCCAACGTAGGTCAAGTGTATTGATTAGCCTGTCTCAATTGGCAATTCAGACTCCATTAGCTGTGTGATAAGAGGCAAATTTAGACACTTTCCTCTTAAAGATTAGCTAAGCCCCTTAGCACAGTTAATAGCAAGCAAGTGCTTAAGCAATGCTTAATTAACATATTGCTTGCTTACCGTTACAGTCAACTCCCCATAAAGCTAGACAACTTAGATTTATCTTAAACTGTCCCCCTTTGTGAGCTTTCAGGCGAGACAAACTAACCCCATGTGCTTAGACTCAATACCTTGAGGTTGTGCTTCCTAAGAGGCATTTCGGTAAAACAGTCAACCTTGACTACTTCATGTTAGCTGACAAGCATGTTTTTGTTAATTTTCTTATATATCTGACTAAGTAGCAAGTAAGGCAAGTATTCTTCCGTATTGCAAGTGAGGTTAACAGTTTTAGAAGAGGTTAACAAGAGCAAGATTTGCAAGGGCAGAAAGAAGCTAACACCAAGGCCCCGTTTCCCAGGTGAGTATTGTTTCTACCACTCCTAACAAAAGCCAGTTGAAACCTAAGGTCTGGGGACCTGGCCTCTTTTTGGAAGTATACTCAAACTACACTAAAAACCTCTACGACAGCCCAGGTCAGACAAAATGCAAAACATCTGACTTACTTGACAGGTGATATCCTCCACTCGGTAAGGGTTATAAGACTTCTGACAAGTTCTGCAAAACTGTTTGAAGTAAACCTGTGATGAGAAAGAAAATAAAACAAAATTGCCTTGACACTTTTAGCAAGAAGATGCCAGTCACCTGGTATTTCTTACCTTGTTAGTTCCCTGTACACACCACACATAAGCACTCTCCCAGCGGATGTTGCAGTCCTTGCAGTGGTAATAGCCATATTTCTGCTCTAAGAACTGAACAACAGGATATGTCAGTTTAACCAACATAAGACCTGAATTATCCTTCATTTCCAGGCATTGGGAAGGATCTACTTGATATCTGAAACTGTCAACTTCACTCCAGATCATGAAAGAAAGCAGGGTCAGGTTTGGGTATGCCTCTTCAATACAGTAATTAAGTGAGCTAATAGCCTAGTCAAACAATTAAGCAAGCATGGGCCTTAAAGTTCATATACCAGATTAACTCAGTTCATAAGGCTGGCTGATAAATGAATAATTAGGGACATAATAGTTAAACAGTTCTCTGAAGTTTGGGATTCTTCAGGGAGGCCTTTTAAGATGAAGCCTGATCTTAGACTATGCACACATGAAAGGTATTAAGCTGAAGAAAAATAAGACTCCACATCCAAGGAACTTTAAGGGGTTCACCAAGATCACATTCTTCATGCTGCTAGTTAATTCCCAAACAGTAGTGCCAGGAACCGAAATTGTACGTAAGCCATAATTCATATTCAATATGAACAAAAGTAGTGTTATCTAAACTTCCCTTCTTCCTTCCCAGTGAGTAACCAGTTATACACACGTTTTTAGAGTTAGGCTTTTAGAATTGGAAGGAACTCTGGGGAGCACTTCATTCAGTCTGCTCACCTGTGAGACTGACTGTTAAGTCCAGGAAGGTTATGACTGGCCTAAGATCACACACAGCTCGTGCATGGCCACGCTGGAAAGCCCTGGCCTCTCGATTCACTCCTCACACAATCAGCCTACCGCCACCAACACCGCCCCTCAAAAGGAATACCAGCCTGTGATGGCCGTGGAAGAGACCGCGAAGGACTCCCTCGGGCTTCTTACCACCTCTTGTGCCTTTCCACTTCTGCTAGGTCACAACTGCCCTCTGCGTGCCCCAGCCCTTTAAAGGTTCGGCCTGCTGCTCTCGGGCGGCAATACTGAGCAGTCCAAATGCTTTCGCAGTATTGGATTTCTGAGGTGGGGGTGCTTTTTAAAAGCAAAGCAAATTCCTAGGAAGGGGCATTTTAGGAGCTCCAGCTTTCCAATAGCCTGGAAGCTTGTAAAGGAGAAGTCAGAATTGCTAACCAGAATCTCAGCAGTTGAAGGGTTTTTGCCACATCTAGTGCAGAAATGGGAGAGGGGGATTCTTCGGAATCGACTCTCCTGCCTGCAAGTGCTCCCGAAGTTCAGTTGTGCGTACTCATAGGTCATCCAACCACGCGGTCAGGACTGGCCTACACGCCCACTGCCCAAGGTTTACAGTGCAAATATGAGGGTTGTGAATGTCCCAAGGGCGTTGCCCTGGCCAGCCTGTGGAGCAGCCGCGGCGAGTAAGTCAGGCTGTCGGGACAAGAGACTGCTGTGGGGGAAGACACCTGTCGCGGGCATTGGCTGTTTCGGAAACACGGAAGTGGCCACGCTTAAGGAAGCGCCACACCTTCAAGTGTACCCGAAGCAGTCACAGGGCCCGGCCCCAGGAAGACACCCGCATCCCCGGGCTCTCCTGTGCCCTCACCGCCCCAGGCCTTACTTGGAAGCGCAGCCGCTCTTTGCCCGGCTCCGGGCTCCGTGGCGACGGCCTCTCTCCCGCGGCGGCCGCCTCCCGTCCGTCGCCGCCGTCTCGGGCCCTCCCTGCCGGCGGAGGTTGCCCCGGGCTCCTTAGCGCCGACCGCGGAGCCGCCTCCCCCTCCTGGGCCTCTCGCGGCGGCAGCACGGGACCGTCGGTCGGCTGCTCCCAACTCGCTCGGACAGCGGCCTGGGCCTCGCCGTCGTCGTCATCGGACTGCGGCCGCCGGGGCGCCTTCCTCGTCCACACCTCCCCCTCCTCTGGGTCTTGAACCCTCGCGGGCGGCGGCCCCCGCTCTCCATTCGACGCCCCGGACCTCTGCTCGCCCGCCGCGGCCCCGGGTCCCTCCAGGAAGGTGGTGAGACGGCGCGAGGCCACGGGCGAGTACACCGCGACCGTGCGCGGGAAGCGCAAGGGCCGCGGGGCGCCGTTCTGGGGGCTGCCCTGCTCCAGGCCTCGACAGGCTGGCTGCTGGGAGTTAGAGCCGCCGCCCGTGGTGCCCTCGGCCATGGGGCCGGCCAGGGACTCGGGGTCGCGGGCCCGGCGCTGCAGCGTGCGCCTCCCCAGCGAGCACTGTACCGCGGCGTCGATGCGCGGGCTCACCTGCACCGCCACGTCGCAGCTGCCGGCCCTCCGGGCGCGCGGCCCGAGACCCGGCCCCACCTGCGCCAGGAGAGCCATGAGCTGCGCCCGCTGGTAGCTGTCGAAGTACTCGGCGGCTGTCAGCCTCCCTCGGCCCGGGAAGGACGACGAGGCCGCGCCCACCGAGGATGGGGAGGAGGCGGGAAGGCAGCCCCCGCTGCGGTGCTGCCAGTTACCGCCCGCCGCGCCCTTGCCCTTGGTGGCCGCCGGGTACGGGTACGAGCAGGGGGGGCACGCCGGGAACACGTAACCGTCCAGCACCTCGTCCCCCAGGGCCGCCATGGGCGCACCGCTGCCGCCCGCCGCCGCACCCTAAATAGGCGACTCGCCCGGGCAGCCGAGCGGAGGCGGAGACGGCCCTCGGCTGGGCTCGCACGCTGCACCGCCCTCCACGCCCTTCCAGCCATCGGCCCGCGTACCCGCCGAGGGGGCCCCTCTCCGTCCTTCTCCCTACGGAAACTCTCCACGCCCGGATGTTGGCACAATGACCCTAAGATTATCTGGAAAGAGGGCTTTCTTTGTGATGAAAGGGCTGATTCGTAAGGGAACCAAGGCGCCCGAGATGGGTAGGATTTCAATGAGAGAAATTCATCACCTGCATCAGCTGAGTCGGCTACTCCCGGTGCCCTGATTGTTCCAGGTGCCTGCGCACCGCCCCCCTCCCCCCGCTCCCCTCCCCCCGCTCCCCCTTCCCCTCGCTCCCCCTTCTCCCGCATTCCCCGCACCAGAAAGCCAAGGCTAGGCCGGGTGCCTCTGGCTAAACGAGCGAAAGTGCCAAGGTTTGGGAACTGTTCTGGGTCTGTTATTACTCATTGACTCAGATGATAGTTTAATCTCAGAGCTGCTCGAGAGACTACCCACTAAGCCCCCTCGGCGAGTTCATGGAGAACCACCCAGGGATCTTCGTCTAGGCGAATTGTTTTCTCCCCTGGAGCGTGTCCTTTCCCCCAGTCCCAGTGATGACCCGGAGGTACCATTTTGCTCTGCTCCAGAGTGGTTCTGCAAAATTTCCCAACCAAATCATTCCTCCAAAAGATAAATTGATTTGGGGTGTGTTTACATAAATGCAGAAGACCAATCGAAAAGAACATGGCCTGTCCACTAGAAAAAATGTTGATTATTCATTACTAAGTAGATACCAGATCAAATAATCAAATACATTAATGTAACTCTTCTCTGATACTGGTTTGACAAATAGTATATTTCCTTATTTAACTGACCCGTTTTGGAATTTTTCTGAATACAGGTCAAAATTCAACATTGTCAGGAATTTTAAGTAGAGCAAGCACACTTTTTTTTTTTTTTACAACAATTACACTAAACTCAATTATGCTTAACAAAGATAGCTTGGTTTTACTCATAAGATAGTGCGCCAAAATTCTACATTTCCAAGACTCTGTTTTCTAAAAGTTTCTGAATTTGCAACAGTCATAGAAATTGGTGATGGTAAAAACTAAAAAGCACATTTAATTCAGACTTCAGGTTAGCCATCCCAGGTGCAAATTATATTACAGCATTGATTTGTAATTTGTGACAACGTTTGGTTAATACACCAGCAAACCTTAAAATGAAAAGATCAGAATTGTTACATGTATGATGTGAACCAGTGTCATCTTTTATGTTAACCATGTGCACTACCACACGCCATAAATATGAAGCAATATTTCAGCAAGACGAAGCTCCTGTGTATCTCCACATTTAGAGAGAAGTCTGAGTGGTTTCCATCATTATATTTTCTGCTTTCACTGTGCCATAGGAAGTGTCTGCCATTTCCTCTTCTTTTAGTTTTTTATAAGAAATATCTGTATCTTCATCTTCATCTAGAGGATCTCGCTTGTGCAACATTTCACTTCCATACATTTTATAGATTAAAACAAAAATCCCTGCTTCTGCAGACTGGAAAAGCGCATAGAGCAAAGGAAACATGTACATGCTTCCTATGAATTGCGGCGGAAAGGCCAGTTTTAGAATGGCTGTACAAAGCTGCACATTCTGACTACCTGTTTCCAGACATACAGTCCTCTTGCAGTTGGGTGGAAGATGGAAGAGAGTAGCTAAACCATAGCCTGAGGCGTAGCCTGCCAAAGGCATAAAAATTGCTATCACATAAACAGCTGCAGGAATACTTGCCAACAGTTGAGGTCCTAACATAGTGCCAGTCATTATGAAAAGTACCACCAGAGTCACCAGCAGAGACCACAGGGAAACCTAGTAATAGAAAATTACAATGAGATGGTTGAATGAATTCAGGCTAGAGAATCCTAAGCTCAGGGAAGAAAACACCCATCTAGTATGATCTCCAACACAAAATGGAGGACCTTTGACAGAATATTTCTGAAGACGGGCAGGCCACCTCTTCAGGAAGCATCCAGAGCCACAATGGGCAGCTCTGATTGTTTGGAGGCCTGTCCTTATGTTGAGGGACAATTTGCCTTCTATAACCTCTAGCCATTGACTTGGATATAGGCTGTCAGGAGCAACAAACCCCGTCTCTACTAAAAAATACAAAAAAACTAGCCGGGCGAGGTGGCGGGCGCCTGTAGTCCCAGCTACTCTGGAGGCTGAGGCAGGAGAATGGCGTAAACCCGGGAGGCGGAGCTTGCAGTGAGCTGAGATCCGGCCACTGCACTCCAGCCTGGGCGACAGAGCCAGACTCCACCTCAAAAAAAAAAAAAAAAAAAAAGCTTTTCTGAAAAACAGCTCTTCAAAAGCTTAAAAACCGGTTATCAGGGAAGGCTACTCTTCTCCAGGCAGATAGTCCCCAGATTAAAGCCTCCATCACCTAACTTTGTTTTGGTATCCTGACTGTTCTGAACATGTGTTTCGTTTGTGAATGTGCCTCTTAAAAACAGGGCATTTAGCACTGAGCCTAATACCCCAGGTATGGTCTGATCATTAGAGCAGGCAAGTGGATATTTACTTTCCCTGAACTGAACCCCATGTTTTCCATAAGAAATTGGTTCTCATTTTACGTGAGTTGAAACTTGTGAAACTTGATTAAAATGTCTGAAGCTCAGTGTGTGATTTTTTTAACCCTGAAAATATATTGCAGAGGATTGCTTGCAATATTGAAACAATTACCTATTCTTAGATTATGTAAGAGAAAAAAATGTAAATAAAGATGTGAAGAATTCTTTGCAATTTGGCAACTTTCCCCTTTTTCATTTGTTCATGAGAAACCTCCCATCTGTAAGTCTCTAATGATGCTTAGGTATTATTACAATAGATGAATTTTAGATACAGTACAATTGACTTCTGTATAAAACATGTAATCTTGATGTTCTGACTGGTACATTTCACTCATTCAAATAAAACAGGCTGTATGAATAGTAAAGTGGAAACCTAAAAATTCCTCTCCTACTCCTCCTTCTTATTGGTAGTTAACTTATTATTTTTAATGAGGAGTGGGCAGGGGAAGGAAACTCGATCCAGAGAGAACAGTTTAAATGTTGCTTCTGGTTCCCTGGATAGCTGTGATATCCCTTTTGCAGTCTTTGGGACTGGCATGACTCTACACTCTTAAAAAGTTATTTAAAAAATATCAACTAGTCACAAATTCTACCCTAGAGGATGCCGCAATAATTATTATATAAGGTACAGATACTACAGATGTACAATTGGCAGAAACCAAGCTATTACATGTAAAAGCATACCATTTCAAAGTATGTCACATTAAAAGCATTGACAATCTGATTTCTTCATTTTGAAATATTGGCTCCAAAATCCCTTAGAACTTTTAAATCATTTGGGCAAGCATTGACATTGAATGCTCATTTTGAAGTGTTTGCAAAGGTGTAACAATTATATAAACCGTTTCTTAATAGTGTGTTAAAGAATAGGGCGAGGTTAACCTTAAATTCAAAGGTAGCTAATCTTATTGATCTATTATATTTGAATATTAAATACATTAATTTATTAATATATTTATATTAAATATACTTCTGTTTTTGGTGCGTAGGTCATTTGACTGACTTTCTCTTAGACTTCCTAAGGTTTTATAGTAAATGCCATCACGTTAATAGCATTAGCTTAATGATTAAGATTAACAAGTTCTTAATGCATCTCAAGAGTATGAGTATACACAACAGGTATTAATATATGCATATTTACATGTACACATATATTTTTACATTCACATATACATGTTTATTATGGAGCAGGATTTCTTTTACTCAGGGCTGGATATATGCACAGAAAAGAACTCTCTACTTTTCATATTAATAAAAGCTGACTATATAATCAGATTACTTTAGAAAATAAGTAAAACAAAAGATTATGTCTTCTTGAATCTACATAATTGAAACATTAAGGTGGCTCTTTTCCTCTTCATTTGTCCAAAGGAATTTGCCTGTGCATTTTGCAGTAATAGTTATGTATTTTATTTGATTAATTACCTGAAGTCAGCATCCTGGTCATGGTTTATTCTTTTTCACTACTATTTTTGAATTTTCAAAGACAGCTTAATTTTACAAAGTTTTTTTTCCTCCAGTCCACTACTAGAATCTACTAAACTACTACTAAACTACTAAAATCTCTACTGCTACAGAAAGCATTAATTTTTTAAAAAATCAAAGCCTTCGGAGAAATATTGCACAAATTATAGAAATCCCCCATCTTTTCACTAGCTTTAGAAGCCATAAATATTGCAATGGAGAAAGAAAAAGAAACACATTTAGTGAGGGCAATATAATCTCCATTATTTATCCAGGACCCAATTTTATTTTGTGCTTTAAAGTGAATATTTTGTGTGTTCTATTACTACAATGTAACTTTTCCATTACTTTTGTCCTATTAGTATCAACTTACTTTTAAAAATTTAATAAAATGTTAAAGGAACCTACTATGGAGTTTCTCAGAATTCCAGTTCCATTTTTGAAAAGATAGCCATGCATTTCTAAAATAGTGCACCAATTCTATTAAAGTAATTATATTTAATCTGCTTTGATTTTTAATTATATACAATTAGTGGAAAATATGTTGCCATTTAATTACACTGTCATCTTCCCCACCCCTCTATGATCTGTTTCCTCCCGATGAGTACTGATAGTTCTTTTATGCTGGTTTTGATTAAGCTGTGTCTTAATTAAAGCTATTATTCTAGGAATCCCAAAAGTGGAAGTTATCTTCGTAGCATAAACCTTTTTTAAAAAATTTTATCCATGCAACTACTTCCAAGTCCTTTTCTTCCTTTCCCCCTTCTCCAAACTTCCTCACATTTCTGCTGTGGGTCAGAGATCAAGGGCTCTCCAAGCTAGTATGGAAAGGGAAGAGGGGCCTTACCTTCACAATGTAGTCAGCCACCCGGCTGTATTTGTAGCGAATGAAGACGCCCAACCCGATAGGGATGAGAGTGCTACAGAGTGTCAGGGTCACGGTCCCT